TTTCCGTGTACTGTTTTTTTTTATGTTGGGGTTGCGGCTTATAATCCGGTGCGGCTTATACTGTATGTTAATGTTCACATTTTTTTTTTTAAATGGCGGGTGTGGCTTATAGTCGGGTGCGGCTTATAGTCCGAAAAATACGGCATTTGTTTTCGTTCGTTACGAACACATTTTTCTCATGTACCTCTATTGTTTAGCTTTAGCATTTAGCCTATTTGTTCGAGTTTCTGAGGTATTTTGACCGCTGCTGCTCCCGTTACCTGTCCTGGTAACTGCATGCAGAGTGAGCGCAGAGCTCCGACAGGAGGAGGGGGAGGAAAAAAAAGCTGCTACAGCGACTCTGCCTCTGGGTCYGACTCAGGGTCTCATACTGTATATACGGTTGTACAACGGAGCTTCTGCTATTACTAGCCAGTAAACGCTGGCTTTGGAGGGCGGAGTTAATGTTAACAGATTGATGGAGGGCGTTACCAACAGAGCTCATTAACAAACAGCTCTTCTGAATGGAAGTCAGAGCAGGCAGAACTAGAAAATGGGAAATTTTATTATCTGATAATTATTTTGTGCATTAAATTGAATGAACTGGATAGCCCATAGACATACCATAAAAATTTCTAGGACCCATAATTGGTCTCCTTTAAATTCAAACAAGTTTATTTCACCAGAACCTGGTTTAAAATCTTGTAATTCTATATTCAATTAAAATTTTTAGATATTTATGATAAACTTTACACCTGACACTTTGACAGAAAGAAAAGCTGGTTGTGGCACAAAAAAATAAAAAACAAAGCCATGCCTTTACTTTAATCCTGATCATAACCAACAAATATATGTGTTGCTGTTAATATTGTTTAATTTTCAAAAGAAAAGCAACATCTGTGAATGACAGCGAAATGTGCAGCTGAGGGGAGCCGCACTCCGAGGCGCAGTGATCTGGGTGGGCTTCCCCAAAGGCTGCACACCATTGAAACAGTTGCTCGTCACACTTTTCCTCTCCTATTTACAACATTTCACAAATATAAAGTATACTTCCACGTGTCCTTTTGGAGAATACTACAACAAAGTATGCACCGCCAAGTATAAACACTGCCACAGCTGGCGAGTGCGTGCACGGGTAACCAAAGCACAACTCTCAACCGAGCCAGGCTGTGKGCYTCAGGCGCTCTGCATTTGCTGCGCTCCGTGGCTAATTATYAAACTGTGGTACAATAACCTCATGTGCCAGATCACATGCAGCTGTTGATCAATGTTGATGCTGCAGTGGTTCAGGTTTCTGTTTTAAAGATCACCAGATTGGTCTCCTGCGCCCACCTCGTCCTCTCAGGTGGAGCGTGACAAAATTTCTGTGGATCACCTTTTCTGACAGCTGGTTTAAAAATATCTGCCAGCTTTGTTTTGTTAATTCTTTTTTATATTTTAAAAC